AAAAAAAAAAAGTGGTGAATAGCTGAAGACAAATGGAAGCTCTTATCATATATCTAACAAATATGAACACATCCTACTTCAGGATGACTGCAACAAAATCGGGCCAACCCATGAAGCAAGCACGTCGCTCAGCGCCAACTGTACTTCATTCGTCCCATGTTCACATTTAATAAGTTCAATGAAAAGAGGGAAGAACATTGCCAAGTTTCTCTCAAATGTAGAATCAGCTAATCCGCTAATAGTTTGAAGAGTCTCGACAACCATAGGTGCTCTTACAGCAAGCTCTCTCCGTTTTCCAGAGCCGAGAGGGATGAGCCACTGAGGTTTTTGTTGGGCGCTCGACGAGGCGTCGATAGGCTGCCATGGCTTAGCTGCATTAATATATACTTGCAGGACCTCTCTGCAGAGCTCAATAAGGTAAGCCTCAATTTCTAGATCCCCATCAATCGGTGTGTCCAATAGGACGTTTTGCAAGAGAGTGAGACATATCTGATATGACTCGTTCTCAAGACGGAGCAATGGTGGGTCTTGTAATTGGGTCATAGAGCTCAGGTCTTGCAGCTTCATCCTCAGATCAGTATCGCTGTTTATTTTGTGAGAATGAGATGCTATGGAATGCGAGGCTTCAAACAATATAATTATGGTTTTGACAGATAACTGGCCTCGGTACGCACTGTATATCTCCAACACAGCCTGCAAAAGAAGTGTGGTAAAGATAAACAAAGCCTTTGGATTATTTATCCAAGAAAGCGACATTTGAAAATTGAATCCTTCGAAATAAAAATTTTTCAATGCATTCATTATAGAAAATTAAATTAACTTAGGCAAAATTAGAATTGAATAAAATATTTCATAGACTGTTATCAATGATAAATTGTGGAGTATCTTCTGATCTTTCAACAGAGTTGTTGGGTGAAGAAACAATCATCATGAAAAGTCTTTAGAATATGCATCCCATCATTACACCTCCAAACGAAAATTACTAAATCAATGAAAAGGAAAAGCCTACAAATATTTTTTCTCCTCTAGAATTTGTAATGCGATTCATTTTAAACTCAGATAAGGACAAACCATTTAAAATTAAAATTACAACTCTGAATCAAAATTAATAAATCAATGAAAAAAAAAGCCAACAGATATTTTTCCTCTATAGGTTGTAATGCAATTCATTTTAAAATCAAGTCAGGACAAGCCATTTCAATTTAGAAAAATAACAGCATTGACGCACAAGATATTTATAAACACAATTTAGAACCATAGCTAATGAGAACTTTATCAGCTTATTTACTGCCAATATTATCAAGAACCATAAATTTAAATAAAAAAGCCCAAACGAATTCAGTATGACTGCTAGTTTCAAGGGATAAGAATCTGTTCTATTTTTCAAATTGGGTGCATCCCTTTCAGTGGCTATGATTGAATTTTAGTTGCATCACTGGAGAAAAAATTCCATTGTTGATGCTCAACTGGGATGAGTTCTTCCATACATAACGTAGCTGTGATTTAAACTAATCTGATTCAATACGCACTAACCTATTTAACATTCCCTAAAATTATTTCATTTTTATTATTTGCATAACTTTATTTTGTAATTTATATAATATCTTCAACATTACTTTCTTTATTCCACCAATTATTCATCTCACTTTAGTCTTTGCTTCCCTGGCCCACTAAATTATCTGTTTCAACGTCTAAAATAATAGATCAGCCAAGAAGTTTAATACATTATTTGCGTAATACATTATTTGTGTTAAAATAGATTACGTGAAAGAATAAGCAGAAGTAAAGTAGAATGATGTTGACCTGAATCAATAAAAGTTGAATAGCTGCACGGCATTTGGCATCAGCCACAGCAGAATGCACTTTTTTTGTTCTCAAACCTAGCAAATTTTCATCTCCTGAGTCCTCCATTTCATCCTTATTTTGGCTTAAAGAAGAATGCTCATCATCCCTTAATTCGTGCTCAAGATATGATTCAGATGAAATAATTGAAAAATCAGGAAGCGTTGCATTGACAGCTTCCTTTAGAGATAGGACCACTTCTAACCACTTGTCCTCTGCAAAGAGAGATCCAGCATTATTCATCAGACGAACAAATGAAGCAATCCCAAAACTAGCAAGACTTTGATGGGGCCGCTTAATGAAACTTGTCAGTAGCATCAGGACTTTGTTTAGCAGTGGATGTACCGTATCATAAAATTTTAAAAACAGATCCACAACTAACTGAAGGGCAAGCGTGCATGTCTCATATAGCCATGCATCTTGATCAAATTCAGCTGCATCAACTCCTAATCCATGTCCGTGAGGTTCAATGCCTGAAGGATCAATAGCATGCCGTACATAGTCAAATATTGGAAAGAGAACTGAATCAAACACTCTCTCCCATAAAGGTAAAGTGAAATGATGGCCATGGTTGCGTAATGTCTCAAAGAGCACTTCCAAAGCATTTTTCCTAATTTGAGGTCTTAGATCAAAGGAAAGTTCCGACAAACCTGCAGGAACAGAAAGATAGACTTGAAACAAAGCCAACAGAAAACGGAGAACAACCAAAATTTAATATTATCTGATAAATAACATATTTGCTGAACTTAACAGCATATTATCAACCACAAAGCTCATTCAGTAAATATTATCTTCAAAATAGTATATCATGCACCTGCCAACAATGGGAACCAGAGGTGTAGATGATCATCTTTGTCAATAAACTGATTATCCTTTGAATCCTTAACTCTATTAGGCGAAAGTAGCCCGTTAGGTTCTGATGCTGCCTCCTCATCCCTATAATAGGAACCAAGTTTACCGTCTGCAAGCTTTGCAGCACAGAACCGAAGAAAACCAATTGCCTTGAGGCTGATGTCCTTATTAAACCTACTATTAGTAAACGCAATAAGGCAATTAACACAGTCTGTAAATGTGGTTGTCTCGGTTTCAGTTATGTAAGGAAAATACTCCCGTAAGATCCTTTCGATTATTTCAAAGGCAAGAACAACAATATTTTTGTGATCATCGTAGGATGCTGTCGTGAATATCTGCAACAATAATCATGCATGGCAGTAAGCCGTGGCTAAAATAACGGAGAAAAAAAAAAGAGAACAAGAAAGAGCTGGTCTAGAAAAATTATAGAGGTAAAAACTATCAAAGGACGTTGCTTAAATTATAGAGGTAAAAGCTATCAAAGGACGTTGCTTAAGAAATAGCATAGAAAAGAAGAATAAATCGCAATGTACCATGAACATGCTCTTCCATCCTGACTTGACACTACTAGGACAAGCCAATACCATCTGAGAAACGCATCTGATGATGACTTCCCTAATTTCAACAGCTCTACTCTTACGCATAACAATGACAAAAGGTTTTAAAAATTCATTCTGAAAATTGTAGTTTGCCAGTTCTTCACGCTCAATAAACTTTTTTGATAGCTGCCGCAAGGAATCCATTGCAAAGATGGCAATTGATAAATTCTCGGAACAACCAACAGTGACGAAGAAATTCGATAGCACATGCCAAATGTTAGACCATACAAGCCTAATACGTTTCATGTTGTAATGCCTGCAAAAGAAAACAATATACCATTTTTGACTCAAAGAATGAATAAGGAGGTTCCAATGAAGGAATATATCTTACGCAATCTCTACAATTTTTGTCAGGCTGAAGATACGTGGATCAGACGTGGACCGTAATTCCTCCATAGATACCTTACAAAGACACTTCACAAAATCAACAATAGCCTCGCTGTTCAATTTCTCACTTTGAATGAATATATTGTTCACTTCAGATATTCCAACTTGCTCCAACATGTTTAAGTTTGAAACCAAGTTGTTCAGTTGCTCTGTAGTAACCACACCAGAAGCATAACCACCGACACCAACACTTTCATAGGAGCCTCTTCTGGCAGATGCAACAGCATATGGAATTTGTCCAGGAACCTTTTTCACAAGCACCGGGAGAATGGATGGCTTAGCCTGTTTAGATATATCTAGTTCAGCTTGAGGAGTTGAGAAAAAAGCAGCGTCTGGAGGAGCACCTTCTCCCAAAAGATACAAATGTTCAAATCGTGAAACACATGTCAGAATATGTTCCCAAGCCTCTTGCAAATAATTTCCATCTTCATCAGCTACAAGAAAAACTACCTATAGAACAATCCAAAAAAGAAACATCTAAACTTCATAACTAAATTTTAAGCTAGCATTTAATTTTCTTTGACAAAGAATTGAGACAGCTGCAAATATTTTTTTCATGAATACCTATCCAGAGTAGGACAGATAATTATGCCTGAAATCCAAAGTTTAATTGAATCCAAGTTAAAATTGATTTTGCTGATATATTATAAAATAATCATGATTATTAATTAAAAAGTATTTGTTGTATCTACTCAAAATATAACTTTTCTTGAATTTGCACAAAAATGGATTCAAAATTGATGAATTTCAACTTCAGCCAAAATAAAAAAAATCAATTTCAAGTTTAGAGGGGCTTGTTCAAAATTGACTTATATCAAGCAGAGCCGGTCAAGACTGCTTGAGGTGACCGGTTCAGAGGTAGGGGTCAAGCGGGATTTACTTCCTTTTCTGCGCCGCGCTTAATCAAGCGGCACTTCAGGAAAGGCGACACTGCCGCCGGCCCTCCCTCTCCTCTTTCCTTTTTGGTTGCCGCCCAAAGGGGGAATTCTTTCCTTCCTATTTACCTATTAGCCATTATATATGTGCTGATTTGCATGTTAGGGTTAGTTTTTGCAGTGTATTGCTTTCAAATTTCTTGTGTGGAGTCCTTTTACGTTTTCTAGGGTTGTATCTGAGAAAGTGGTAGTGCCCCGGCTGTATCCTCCTCCAAGCTGGTGTTGTATCCTTCCTTTTTATCATCCCTACTCCTCCCCCTTCCAACAGCCGCCGATATCCCCATCCTTCATCCCCGCACCTAAACACCCTTCCCCCAACAACTTACTCTTGTTGTCCAACACCGCCGATATCCCCATCCTTCATCCCCGAACCTAGACACCCTTCCCCCAACAGCTTACTCTTGTTGTCCAGCTCCCTGGACATCAATCTAGCCTTCAATTGCCCTGTCTCTACAGGCCAACATTGTTTTCCCCCTCCTCAGCAGTCATCCCAGCCCCGGTCACCAATGTTTTGCAACAAACCTGCCGCCCAACCCTCCATCATTGTTGTCCCTTCAGTTCTGCATCTTCCCCTCATTGTCACCAGCATTCCTTTGCTGCCACCACCCCTACCAACTATCTCGACTTACCTAGCCGACCTCCATTGCCCTTAGAATACACCTTAGAGGTGTTTATTTGTGTTGTTCATGTTTTGTGTTGTGTTGTAACCCTCTTTCTGCATCAATAAAAATTTGCTTTGTGTGTTTCCGCTTTTTTTCTAACTAGGTATCAAAAAATATGTAATCAAATATAACAATTGTAATCTTAGAACTTGTTCGTAGAGTATACCCAAATCTCGATAAGTAATGAGAAAAATAAAACGGACACATTTTCTAAGTATCAAAAAAAGGGAGAAATATAGAAGATGGTTATGACGCAAATGTAAAATCCTATGTTCACCGTCTAAAATTTAGAGAGAAGTCAACAAATCAATGCAAATCTAAATTCCTATGTTCAATGTTTTCTTGGATGAGATTGATAAAAAAAAAAAGAAAAAAAAAGCTTTTCCAGGCCAAAAAAAGGGAGTTGATAGAAGCCATGCTCATTTAAGCAGAACAAGGATTCCTTTGTTAAGGTTAATGGAAAATGAGTCAGTGTAAGGCCAACATCAAAATAGGTTTATGGCCAAACATGATGACGAAAGCAATATCTTAATATCACGTGAAACCAAAAGATCCATGGCCTTGAGCCATTGGCATCACCTAGTTATGAAAGATGAAAATTTTAAGTTATGTTAGAGCTCCATAAAAGCAGGTCCATTCTAAGTATATAACAGTATAAGTACAAACTTTCCAGTCCAATCATCAGCTCATAACTCGTAACTTTATACTCAAAGCACACACAAAACAAGAGCAGAATTTAAATGACCAGGTTTTAACATAACTATTGTTGTCAAAGTGCTAGACAAAGCACAACAATAGGCATTCGCTTGAGTGCCAATGAAATTGTCAAAGTGCTAGACAAACCACAACAATAGGCATTCGCTTGAGTGCCAATGAAATTAAAAAGGAAACTACCATTTCACCTAATTATCCCATTTCCATTGCCTAGAAAACTTCTTGAAAAAATAATATTCATTCAATAATCTATATGGAGTCAAAGAATAATCCTCTGTTGCATTCCAAATTCAAAAATCTTTTAGAACAGGTAATCCAACAATGTCACAAAGAGACATTTAAATAACTTAAACAATTAAAGTATTTAACTTTATAGCATGTATATCATCGACCTAATTAGTCTTCACTTCTATCTATTTCATCTTCATCATCATGATTTCTTCTCTAGATTCGCTATCATTGATCTCTTCTTCTGTATCAAGTTCATCCTAATCATCTCCAAGATTCACTATAGAATTTGAATCTCATACAACAACACTTAATCTGACTTAATTTTTAGTGCATATCAATTTCTTCAAGCTTGTATCGACCAAAGTCAAATTTTCATTATAAAAAACTGTCATTTTCTACATTTGAAGTATTAGATAACAACTTTATAATCAAGTTAATGTGTTCGCCTAGCTACTCTATGCCTTGAAATATAGGGCATTAAAATGGTGCTCCCTTGAGAACTGCATGGGATGCTATGACCCCCCCTTGCCTTGTGCAAACTAGTTGAGCATAGCTTGTCTTTAATAACAATAGCTCAACATGAAAGTCAGCAATACAATATAGTGGGTGATCGTAGGAACCCAAAATTTACTTGAATTTTGTGGGACATTTAACATGACCCAGACAGGCTAGCATTAAGGGAAAGAAACGCAACGAGTATGAATGATAGGGAATACTTCAGGAAAATACCGCACAAATCATAGAACACATCCAGAAGCATAATGGCCCAACAACTAAACTGATGGTTCAATAAGTCAAGAAGGTCATCATGAACCAACAACTCAATAGCCAACGGAATTAGGATTTAGGGGGCCAGGTTAAGATTCTCTAACAACATATTACCCTGGCAAACCGCCAAAAAATTGCTTGGTCGTCAGGTTGCTTTAGGATGCATGTCTTGGCCACTCTAACACACTAGCCAAAGCAAAATGAAAAAACATGTGAAAATCAAGTCACTGTGGTCGGTGGACAAGACAAAAGCAACTAAGAGGAATAAAGAAAACATGTAAAGGGGACCTGACGTCTCTAGTCATTGTGTGAGCACAAAAATAGCGGGCACTTTGCCATTTTTCAAAGTGATGAGGTCATAAGAAAGATTATTGTAATATTAGCGCTAGGCAAAGACTCAATTACTGTGGAAACCCACAGCTTAGGGCCAACAACCGACACCAACCATTCTTGCTTACATTAAATGTGTGACCCATGAACTTTTAACTATAGGTATCCTTTTATTGCCTAAAATTATATCTTCATTCCAAATGTCACGTTACCACCATCATAGAATAATTGAACTGACACGTGTTTTTTCCAAAAGCTGCGGTTTGGCCAGAACCGGTTATATGTGTTTTTATGCCTTAGAGTTTAGCTTCGGTTATTTTCTGATTTCAGTTTGTGAGGACAGCCTCTGACGTCTTCATTTCCCCTCGAGGGCAGTATTTGACGGTTAGGGTGGTGCTCCGGTTGTATCCCTCTTCCCGTTGGCGATTGTATCTTCCTTTCCTTGCACGCATCCACCCTCTTCCTGCTCACTAGGTCCCGTGCATCCAGTTCAGCCAGCAGCAGGTCTGCTGCCACCGTCAATTCCCCCCTACCAGAATCCTCCCTGCCATGACCCCACCACCTACCGCCAAAACACCGCTGCCAGCCCCCCCCCCCGCTGC